TCACTTGTATCAATTTAGTTTCCGATGAGCGGCTGTTTAATCAGCCAATTAGTGGTGGCCTACTAATTATTTAATTACAGGTCAAATTTGAAGCCGGCAAACTATAGTACCGCGGAAATTGCGTATGCTCATTATATCTACAAGTTGACGAAAAATGACAGGACGATATCTACGCTATTACTATCGTTAAGCTCGGACCATGTCATTATTTATCCCACATGTCATCGTAAAATGTAGTGGTTCCGCCACTTTGCGCATGCATTGGCATGTTAATGACTCCGAGATTACGTCATCTGATAATCTCATGGCGGAAGAAAGACAGGAAAGAAGTTTTCCATTGAATATCTTAATCAATATCAGAGCTCACATGAGCCTTTTGTAACATAATTTATCAATTGATGTTAATAGCTTTATTGCTGCAATTCCTATACATGGGGAGCGTGTTGTGTATATACTTTCCGACAACACGGAGGTAATAACAGGAACCGTTAAGAAATAATGGTCTGTGCACATGTTCATTATAGAATTGCTGATTGGACATTAACAACTTTGCATTTTTACTTAAACGACAGATTAACGGTATCTCTCAATTTCCTTAATTATAGTAAAAGTCTGTACTTTACAAATCTCTATCACTAATATTTTAATGGCGCATGATAATTTTTAAAAATAATACATATAGAAATGAGGATCTTAAAAGACCATTATTGAAAAAGAAACTATTGCTTGGTCAGTACAACTTATCATGTTCACTTATCATTCACTTAATACTAATCTAATCCGTACATCCAGCGGATAATTTATCGACCAACGTAACATGCTCGTCGCATGTTGTGAAAGAAGCAAGCCGGATGCAAAATTTGCATATCTAATCGTCGACTTATTACGCGCACGACGCGTCGTCCGTTGTCGTGAAGAATTCGCGGTAGAGGAAGCTCGAAGTAAAGCTGCGAATTAAAAGTACGACAGGAAGCGGCTGCTTTCAGACGGTGGTTACGCTCGCTCCCGTTCTATCCTCAGGTTCAACGACGCGTCAAATTCAGCTCGCACCGGCGCGCCGCGACGTCCAAATATATGCCGGTCTGCGTTTCAAGTTCAACGCACCCGCGTAATAATGCGACGCGACACACACGTATAACTTTTCATAATATATAACGTAATAAAATAACAGGACAAAGAGGGCAATTACTCGGCAGACTTGATTTTAGGAGTGTACAATTTTTTTTATTAAATTTATATATATATATAATAAGAAAAAGAAGAATTTAAAAAAAAAATATATATATATAAATTCAGAATCTAATTGCTCATATCACGAATTATATGCCGTTATTTTTAACTCACGATGCAGCAGCTCAAAGTTATAACTAAATTTTTCAAAATTATAGCCAAATTAAATATGACATAGTTCGAAAGAATAGTTATAATTTAAGCGAGAAAAAGAGATTAAATCTTTGTTTACATTATGCGAAAGAAATAATTATTTTTTTAAAGTACTTTAACCAAACCATTTGTCGCGTCCATTTCCATTTTGAATAGATAAAATAACGATAAATAAAATATTATTTTTAAATGTGCATTTATTAAAATTTAAAAAAATATCTACAAAATAGTGATATACATTACGGTAATCATTAATTGTTACATGAAGCATTTAAATGAGTATTTATATGAACCAGTACAACAAAAATGTATAAATCTCTATATGTGGATTTTAAATTTAAAATGAAGGTTTACGAATATTCATCGTGAATTTTTCAAGCTAACGTAAGAGTCGGTCGAGAGATTTAAAGACGGGGAAAAAGTGCAAAATAAATGGTCGGTTGATCGCGAAAATCTGGACGGAAAACCGCGGCAACACGGCGCTCCGTGGATGCTGTAATATCGCATTGTAACGTTGCGCGCTCTCCGGCTCTGTTGCATTAAACATGAGCACTATATATCGGCATTGTGTTCTATACATAGACCCAAGCTAAATTTACATTATGTTTATGTGGCTAGTAATTGAACAGGATGTGTCAGAGTTGACATGCAAGAGCTCGGCTGCGCAACCAGGCCCCCATGAGATTCGAGAACAAGACCTCGTCGTCGTCGTCGTCGTCATCGTAGCGCCGCTAAATGATTTTATCAAAGTGTTGCGCGTAATCTTGGCGCTTTATGGCAAAAATAGAATTATATCTTTATAACGAAGATTGAATCACGAAATTGATAATGAAAATGCGGCATCATTTTGCTTATCAGTAACATCGTTGTTCAAATCGATTGTTACGTTGATAGTGATTTCCACCCATTTGTAACAATTTCAATCGCGTGGAAAATTTAATTACCATAAAATTCAATTTATTTTTCAAACGCGAAATGTTTTTTTTTGACAAGTGTGAATCAGACAAACATTGGTTTTTGATACGTACAATTTAATTTATCATCATTTTGTTTTTCGAATTTTTGGTCAATTTTTGAACATTTACCAAAAAAACTTTGATTTTATTTAAAATTTTTTTTATTGTATGAATGTTGTCCTGAATGTAACATATTGTCATATTGTTATAACATTCAGTGCATATAATAAATTTATATCATAAAAAATCGAAATTGTTAGAAACTTGTAATTCAGAAAGAACAAAAAACTCGAAAAATTTATTATTAACTAACGAAATCGTTTTTATTTTGCAATATTGCTTTCGAAACTGCTGAATAAATTGTTACAATTCCTTGCTCCATTCAATAAATCCATTCAATTAATCTAGAAATTTGTGATTCGTGAGCGTTTAGAATATACAAAAAAAATTCTACAAATTGTTACACGTAAGAGTTGTTACGAGCTGCTTGCAAAGTCAGAAGTTTGTAAGAAGCGAAGTTTGCAAAAGTGTCGACTTTGCAAGTATAAAGGGATCATAATTCATACAGTTCAGACAAATACATTAAGATACTCGTGAGACGTTCTACTTGAATATTATAATAATGTAGCCCGACGATAAGAATTACAAAGGAAAGATTAAAGAACGTAGTACGCTTAATACATGATACTCTAATTGAAACTATTATAATTCTTATGAACTAGAGATGAGATCTTTTGTGACGTTCACATCACTAATTTGAGTGAAAAGTCTAATGGAAATAAGAGCGCCATGGCTGGCGTTCTTAAAAAGTAATTAGTAATCGATAAAAGAAGCAGCATGTTTTTAACGTTAAAAAACGTTTTTATACTTTAAAAAAAAAAAAACGAATAAAAGCGCAAAATAAGATGGATCAATAGTGATTTTACTCACCGTAATACACGCAAAATGGGGAAAATGCAAATCGCACCCAGATTACACGCTTCTTTGTGTTCCATACAAGTTAGATTTCATCCGAATCGGCCATATCGGTTCTAAAGATGAACCCGGATCTACAAGTTTACTCACGCCGCGCGGCGTGTAATACTTCAAACTCGGGCTACATCACGTTTCTCCGCTGCTCTCATTTGTAAATGTTACCCATACATTCTATCATGTGCAGTAATCGCATGTCCGATTGTGTGCAGTCGAACTGTTCGCGCGCGCATATCGATTTATAATTACGCACGAATGTCACTGGCAGCCGAGAGCTACTTAGCGGACAATAATGCATTAATTACCGATCAAATAAATCGATCCTCTTAAACGATTATACGTATACGTATCGCCCGTGCATATAATATCCGCTTATACATATATATACATACGTATATATATATATATGTATAATATCCTGTCGCATTGGTATGCGGATAAAACGCGGAAAATGATGGCGATCGTAAGCGCTTCTTCATTAGAGCTTATACGAACGTAAACGCACGTAAGCATATACAAGGGAGATAAGCGAATGCAATAAATGAATAACTGGATTAGTCGCAGCGATAGATAAAGCGATACACGCCGGTACGCACCGGTATGTATATAAAATAAACTATGGGTGATAAATGAACAGTCGGTTAATATTAAACTTTAACGCGTGGCCGCTGAATTGTATTTATAATTGACGAGTCTGCGGCCGTTACTCACCGCTTATCCTTGCCCGGTTTATTCATGCGCGTATATACACGTGCGCGTATGCGCGTATTCGTGTGTTACAGAGCCCCCACGATAGCGGGTCAGATCAATAATATTTTTTCGCGCGGATACGATACGCAAAGCGATAACGGCGAAAATGGTACGAAAATAAATCACCGATTGCCGATTGCGACATCGCGCCATGTTTAACACGACGTTGATTGAATTGCCCGCAATATGGCAATTAGTAGGTAATTGGAGTCATGCTCAAGGCACGATTCCACGTGCCCGAAATCAAAACCTCCGACAGATTATTTCATTAATTATCAATTAGCGCAAGAACATGCGTGCTACGTCTGCAACCCCGTTTCAATTTCAAAATGATGAAGTGGATAAGATTCGTTTGACGCTAATTGAAGGATCGACTAAGGAATTACAAGCGATGCATGGTGTAATCCGTAAAATTTGGTTTATCGAAAATAATCTTCTAATTCGTAAGCAATTAATCCGTGAGTGCTCGCATGACTTTTTTTGACGTAAATGCTCGCGATCAACATTTCACCCACGTTTTAATTTATTTATGTCTTATGTGTAAAATGTTTCTTTTTTATTTAGAAATTATTATAAACTGAAGCATATTTTAAACATAAAATAACAATTTTAATTAAAAAATTCTATATTTAAAAATATTTCTTTATGTAACATTATAATTTACGTAATATTATATATTACGTAATATTATAGTTAACGTAATATAATTAAAATATTTCTTTACGTGATATTATAATTGATTAGTAAATACAAGGCTTTCAAGTCTGGGTCAGTGACCCTCACGCTAGTAATTATATCAAAAAAGATTTTTCCATAAAAAAAACTAAGATAACTTTGTCAAATAAAGTTCTTTCGAATACAAAAATATATACATTTTTTTTTTTTTTTCTCAAAAAAAGATTCACGAAAATTCGCTTTTTTCCAATCTTCTGACTAGACATACTATCCCTTAGTACAGTTTGGAGTACAGTTTCAAGAGAGAACAGGAGTCTATGACGAAGGAGAAAATATTAAATCGACTTTAGATAACCACGCATCCGTGTTTACCGGTCAATCCGGCCCATCGACGAACATCGTGTTCGTTCTCCGGCGAGTCCGCTGCGATTTTCCAAGAGGGACCGAGCGGCGCCGGGATCGACCGAGGGGTCCGTAAATCCGAACGAGGGGCCTCCGCTTGGCCGGCTTCCGCTTAGCTCGGCGCAGGGCTCTCTCGCGGACGTTTGTTCCATTATTCCCACCATCCCCATCTTGCTCTCCCTTCCCCTTCACGTTCGTTGCACCCTGCGATTTCGTAGCGGTCGGGCCCGCCGATTCAACGCGCATTCAGTCGGCGTTTCGCGCGAAGTGCAAGTGCGCGTACGCACGCACGCACGCACGCATGCACGCACGCACGCACGCATACACGCGTGAACGGATAAAAGAGCCTTGGAGTAAGGATGTGACAGCTGCTCCTGGAAGCCCGCCGCGATTCGCGCGCCCTTTCCGTTGCCCTTCGCGCCGCGTGTGGGCGGCCGGCGGCGAAAAAAAGAGAAAGAAAGAAAATAAAAAGGAAGAAAAAGAAGAAAGCACGCGGAGAAGTGTCGCGACCGGTGATTCGAGATATGAGAGAAATCGGGACCGCGTCCGAAGTGTGGCGGTGAGCATCGTAAGAGAGTTGATAGCTGCTGTTCGTTCTTGCTGCTTCGTTATAAATCGGGTCTATTCTATTTCCCCGCGAGACCGACAAAATGCCGCACGCTGGCAAAAAGAGATATCATCGAACGTTCAGTGAAATCATTTGGTAGAAGGTTGAGCGATGTCATCAATTAGCATGGATGGATGTTATATTTTGACTGGTGTGTGTGACTTGAATTATGAAAAAAACTCATGAAAAGTCGGAGGATTTTAAGTGAAAATTGAAACAGTGGGGGATTTTTAATTTGGAAAGTTCCAAAATTGCCTTTCGGTCGTTGGATTAATCAACGGTCGTATTTTTAGCCTTTTTTTTTTAATATCAAGATGGATTAAGTAAACATCTTTTTTACACGAAAGCATGGAGGAATGAATTTTGACAGAAAGAGTTGAATAATGTCCGAAAAATTTCACTGCACGTGTAAAATTTGCATTAATTAGAGTGACGATAAAAGGAACGCTGTTCTACTATACACGAACGCGCAATGAATAATAAAGATGAAATTGGCCGAGGAAACGGGTTTTGATATGAGGGTTCCCCGGTTTTTTGACCATCCTACCTCTTTCACTTGCCTCTTCTCGAATATACATATACATATACTGGAGCACGAATCAAAGACTCTCTTTACCCTACTCCATTTTTTTATTACTCGCAAGAAGAAAGAGCACTTTTGTCAGAAGAGATTAAAATAGAAACGGATAAAATAGAACGGATTAAGATAGAAAATGCGTTTCAATAAATTAAACGTTCATTTAAAAATAGAGAGGGATTGAGGAAGATATATGGGTTAAGCGATATTTTAAAGATTACGAGATACATAGCGCTTAATTAAATTTTCGCAGAGAAGTGCATCATTGCACTTGAGAAGTAATATCAATTTATTATCAAAAGCATTTGTTACCGAACTTCTTATATATATACATATACAGAGCTCCGTGTACTTCTATTAGTGATACATGGAAGTAGCAATTTATAGGTCGTAATTTACGGGTGCTTGGCGTTTAAAGCTGCACTCGAAGATCAGGGGAAGTTTTAAGGCTTCGTACACTTAAGAGTTCCCTCCTTTTCTAAAATACCACCTCTTTTGAGATATTTGTCGAACGTTCAAATCCACTCGACGAAATGGATCTCTTTGCAGGTCGTAAATGTCACCGTGGTCGCCATTCTTTCCTCAAGTTTGCTCATAGTACTCGAATTCCTCTTTAACGGAGGAATTGGGCTATCTCTCTCAAAACATTAACGATCTCGCGTTGTCAGTCTCCAATCAACATACTAACCTGTCAAAACGATTTTATATAAAAACTTGATTTCTGAATTTTGAAGAGCTTTGAAACAAAACGATTATTTTTCTAAAATGACAAGACTTTTTATAGGAAGTGATTTATAAAAATAGAACTCTTTGAGGTTACAGCATATTTTCTAAAAATATTTATATCATATTTCTTCTTTTAATAATTTTGAGAAATAATATATATCTTTCAATAGCTTTCTATGAGAAATTGTTTTATTCTTTTAAGAAAGAAATTTAGCGAGAATAGGATAAAGCAAAAATATAAAAGAGCATTCTATTCAATTTATAATAACGACAAAGCCAATTTTAATCTCTGCAAAAATATTAAATCTCGTCATAAAAAAAATAAAATTTGACGCAGAATAATAACATTTGTCATATTTTTAATAATAAAATTCTCCCTCTTTCTCTTTCTCTCATGAGAAATATAATTTACCTTACTGGGATATAAATCGCGTTGTGCAAAACAATGTCGCGCGAACCTCGCAATAAACAGGACACCTTATCCCCGAGCGAACTTTAATGCATACGTAATTTAATCGCGCATCACCGAGTCTCGGGGTCTGTGGAAAGGACAGTTTTCTGTTGTTTGCGATTTGGTTGTTGTTACCGCGTGCAGTCGCGGGAAATCCAGTTTTCGCAATAAACTCTCTTCGCACATCCGTGCGACGCGTCACGTTGCGTCGCGTCGCGTCGCGTCGCGTCGCGTCGCGTCACGTCGCGTCACGTCGCGTTGGCTGCTTCTTTCCCCTCGAGTAACAACTTTTGCTGCATCGCGCCACTACCATCGCTTTGGCCCATTTCCTTTTGTATGCCGCCGACCCCGTTTTCTCTTTCATCCTCCCGGTAAGCGAATGACATTCAGAAACGCTCAGCCCGGTTTCGTCCACGAAGGGAGAGGGCTCTTGGGCAAGAACATCCCTCTTGCACCCTCGTCCCACGTCAGAAGCCTCGTCGAAAATGCACGCTGTGAATTCTCACGCGTCGCTGCGCAAGGGAAAACACGGAGATAAACATGAAAATTCGCAATGGTTTACGTTACAAGTGAACGTTAACGGCTCGTCGTTCTTTCGTTGCGACAAGAGGGAGAACAGTATCGTTTTACGATCCTCGTGAAAAAAAAAAATTGTCGGTGGGACGCCATTCTTCGTAGACTGGGTGGCCTGTTACATCGTCGTCATTTGTAATTGATCCGTTCCAGACGTGCGAATGTTTCCCCGCGTTACCTCATTTATCTCAAACTGCAAGTATATAATGTGTCGTTTCGAAAGTTCGAATGTCATTTTGAAAGCACTCAAATATCATTATGTTACATATTATATATTTATATAAAATATTCATACATAGAATATTTATTCAACATACTTTTGATTGTATTTTTTATTAAAAAATGTTTTTATATGTAACTCCCTAATATGTTGGAAAAATTTTTAGATAATATTAAATGAACATTTTTTATATTTTATTACTAACATTCTGAGCCATATTGTTAAGAATTAAAGAGTAATTATTGAATGTCTGATACTTTTCTTTCGAAGTTAATTTGAGATATAACATGAAAATTGCCACTAGATCCGAGTTAAATAATTCTTGGTACTCTCTTTTCACGGCGTGAAAGAATAAACAGAATTGCTATGAGTACCGGATGAAGCGTGAAAAAATAAACGGCTAAAGAGATTACACTAGTCTCTTAACTCCATGAAAGCATTCCGTAGATCTTTCACTACGAGTAATAGAAGTTATATTTTGTGATTAGATTTTTTTTACATATGGCATAATGTAGTTATTTAAATGATATGTAATTATAAATTATGTTTTTAAGAATACAGTAGAAATTACACAAGCAAGATATTTTATATCATTACTTTATTTTATTCTTGTAAGTTCAAATTAATTTTATATATATATATTACTAAACAAGGCTACACAAATATTATATTTTATCGTAACTAAAATTTTTTTCAATTTTTTTAATAATAGAATTTGATTCATAGTTCTTCTAAAAATATCTACGAATAAATATAAAAAGTTATCATTTAAAATTTAAATTATTTTGATTATATATATATATATATAATAGAAACTTGTTTATATATTTCAAAACCAGGTATTTCATGAATCGTGAGATGCGTTGGTCGTATATAAGTTTGTGGCCTTTGAAAAGTCAATCTCACTATGATATTTATCGTTCGAGCACTCAAGCCTAAGTTGTTGGTCAAGCAAGTAGCCTCTTCAGAACGTATTCAACGAGACTATCTTTCTCTCGCGTCTCTTCGCGTTTACCGCGAGGGAGCCGCGGGAGCTGACAGCTGAATCGTTTGACCCATTTCTTCTTCGTCGTCGTTTCGCAATGCATCGCCAGCATAACGGCCTTTTGTATGTCTCGTATTGCTCCAGCATGTTCCACTTATGGCGCCGGAAATCGACTGGACATGGCTTCCTTCCGTTTTCCGATGCAATTTCTTAGTTTACCTATACGCGCGCTAAAAATCTTACGAAAATTCGAATTTTCTTTTTTCTGAGAATTCTTTAATCTTTCGTTGAATTTTCCATAAAAAGTAAGGATTGTTAATGTTTAAAAGAATTTTTGAATACAGTAATTAATAATCATGACTTCTCAGACTACATGCAATGAGCATTTAAGAATAATTTTATTTATTAATAAAAATTTATTAATAATTAATAATGAACGAAGCATTATATTTACTGTTAATCAACAGATGTTTTATAAATTTTGACCATCTTCGAAAAATATACATACGATGACTTTCACATGTGAACAGATTCTTGGTAGATTTACTGTTTTTCAAACACGAATAAACTCTCGAGAATTTACACTTTACATATTTTATGTTTAGTATATACAAAGATTTTTTTTTCTTCGTTGTTTAGACTCATCTTATCTATGATCATAATAATGCTATTAATTATCAACCAATTATTTTTAACATAAAAGCATTTTAAAAATGTGGAACACGACATTGAATGGAAAACACTTACAGAGATAATTTTCAAGAATTTATGATCAAAACCATCTGCGAAACCAGGACACATATCTTCGAAGTTTTAAAATATAATTGATAATTATTAACGTTATTATAAATGTTTAATTAAAAATTCTTTTATATCTAATATCTCCAATTAAATTATTAATATCTTGTGCATCGAGATTTTAAAATTATATAAAATTTAACTTAATGGTATTTTTTCTTTTTGACTCTTACCGAATGTTAGAATAGCGAACTTAAAATAGGGAACATTTGTTTTTCCAATTATGTCAAATCGATAGAAATGTAGGCCACATGATTTCACGGTTCATTGGTCTCGTTAATTGAAAATGCATCGCGGTTAAAGAATACTATAAGAAGATCTCAACTCGACATTTTTTCATACATGGTGCAAACATCTCGGTAAAGTAATTATTACGCGAGATGGATCCGTATGGAAGTTGCAGAGCTAAGGGAGGAAGGTTGTATTTCTTGACGTAGCTAACCTGCTTACATTGGATTACGCTGAATTGTATAGCGTTACAGAGAGCACAGGAGAATTCTGCGACCGCATCGGTCCTCGTGTTTAGACGAATTAATACGGCGCCGCAAGGCAACGAGGATTCTCCATTACACACACGGAAGGTGAGAAATTCCCATAAAACAGCGACGTGTTAATATTTGCG